CAGATCCCAGTAGTATTCACCTATCAAATGTTGTTTTTTGGTTTTTTTTTTCTCATGTTCAAGATGGCTCTGTAAATGAGCAGCGCCAAATTCAAGCCAATTAAATATGAATCAATACAATGTAGATCTTTCTTCTGTCAATTCTAGTTATTGATTGAGTATTTTAAAAGTTGAACTCTAGTTAGGGGTGTGTTGCAGATTTAAATTACTCTGACGATGCTTTTATTTTCTTGGTTTTAGTGTTATGCAATAGCTTGCTCTCCAGTTTAAATATCTTTGCAATCTAGAGAACTTGAAATTTGCTATAAAGACTTTGGTACATGCATCGTTCTGTGCCCCTTAAACTGCGCTTAAAAGTAAAATGCATAAGTACTCTTAGTGTTGGCTTCCCATAACTGGGGAATCAATTTAATATAATTAGCAGAAGCTCTTTGGACTCCATCGTTCCTAGTCTGTGGTTTGGTGATCATCACTGCAATTTAGACTCCTTGTAAGGGATCAGGACTTGGCTCAAAGTGGTTGTTTGGTTGGAAATCTTCAGGAAACTTTCCCACTTAAGACAGTTGAGGAAAAACCTTTTTTAAAGTAGCTGTCTCCTCCTGTACTCAATATCTGGACCCTTTTTTCTCCCTTCTTTCCCTTTATGCAGAATATGGGAAAGGTTACTCCTGAGCAATACTCCTGCACAAAACCTTTCTACCCCTCTTCATTATGCACCTTCTTTTTAATTCAGTCTCTGGTTCTTGTTGAAGTAACAACGTATGTTAATTATGTTTCCTCACAAACATAATATTTCCTAATATTCTCTCCTGTTATTTTATTCTCAGACTGTCTAGCTAGTGACTCACTTCTGTGTTCCAAATCGCTACTGAGACACCAACATTTCTTGATGAAGATCAGCAAGAGACAATTGGTATATATGTACAGAATTATCCAACATAATTCTGTCATATTCAGGAGCGCAGTTAATAATTGTTAATAGCAGAATTTCAAAGTCTGGGATCATGTCTGTATATATTATTTTCTTTCTTCAACTTGTATCTGAATGATGAAGGCATATCAATTTTCATTGACTTGGTGGGAACCCAGAGCAATGAGTTCTGAGGATTCTTACACTGCATCAGTCTCACCCAGACTACATCTACCTTGCCATAGGAAACTCACATGGCATGATACCATACCCAAGAGTGTGCCTTTTCCACTCCTGTGGTTTGTTCTGGTTAACAGGCACTGTTTTGTTTCTTTTGTAATTTCTTTCTGTAATTTTCGTTTATATACCTCCTGTCCCAAGAAATCCTTATTAAAATAAGGTTTGTATCTTGTGGGCTTACTCGTCTGGTGAAAACATGAAGAAATTGCCTGCAAGAATAGCATATAAAAATTTTAAAAGCAGACAAGAGCTTTTAACAAATGAGAGTGAAAGAAGGTGTAACATGAAAACAGTTTTCACATGGTTAATCCTTTGAAGAAAGAAAAAAGTTATGAGTTGTAGCTCTGGTACCTAGGACAGAGGGAAGCAACTGAATCGGGAGTGGTTTATATGATAGAGGCTGGTAATACCATGAGCATATATATGGGCAATCTTTGTTGTCTCCTTTTACTGCAAGACCTCTAAATTACTTTTTATTGCTGACTGATTTAATAATATAACAAGTTTTGCTGGTATTGTTGTTAGCTCAATGGAAGAACTTCTTATTTGTGACCAGTTTAAATACAAAGTACATCTAAGAGCAGAAAGGATTCCGAAGGGACAATTTAGTCTCATCAGAATTAAATTGTAACTGAAAACATAAAAGCTAACTTATTTTTTGTTTGCTGTTATTTGTACATTGCTGAAGTATCTGAAACTTTCCCTCAACATTCGTACAAGATAAATTTTGCCTAATTCTGTAGGAAGTAAAAAATATTTTTCTGAATATTTTTAGTTTGAGAAAAAGGTCAAAACCAGATATGTAATCTTAACATCATTGAGACTTTCTGATTCTATTTACTAGTAATTCACCCTGTTGATACCAGTTAAGTCAATAATGCTGCTTGGTGGAGGAATACAGCTTAAATCAAAGAATTAGAGTCGGATAAGAACAAGAAGGTTTCATACCTGAATAAATATTTGACATCTCTCCAATTTTTATTAATTTTTTTTTCATCCACGAAAGCTGGGTAATTTGTAATTTTTACCTTAGTTTGGTTAGCTCTTGTGACACGTTTCAGGCAGGAGACTCCACCAATAGAACAATGAAACTATGGCATTATACTCTACCACTCTAAATAATACTCAAAACTTTCAGAAATCCTGGTGTCTGCAAAGAGAGTATCATTTTATTTTGGTGTGTAACTGATTTTACAATCTAGTAGATGTAGTTCATATTCTCTTTCATTTGTCTCTGTAGGTGGGTAACTAGCTAGGTAACTAGCACCCCCTTGCTTCTCTTCTGTCTAGGTTAGAATAGTCAGATTTTATCCTGTTACATTGATTCTTTATTTGATATAACTCCATCTGTCCCAATTATCTGAAATTGTTTAAAAACATTAATGAACAAACTTCCAGAACACTGTGAGGAGGAGACAGATTACATTTAAATCTGGAGAAGCTCTGGATTTTTGGATACATGCCTTAGAGAAAGAACTCCAAGTCTTGTTGTAATGTGGTTTAAACCACATTAACTTTCTCTCCAGGGCATTTTGATTATTAGTATTGGAAGAAAAGGTGAAAAGTGCAGTGGTGGTTGGAGAATATTGAGGGACATAGCACTGCAAATCTGTATTCACTAAAGTTCTTTCCTAGGCATCCATGATTGAGAGATGCCAGAGACAGTATAATGAGCTAGATGCTTGGTTCAACACCGTAGACAGTTTACAATAGGCTGAGAGGATTTTCCTCTGATGGAAAAAAAGAGAAAGAGGAGATAGATAAACGGTAGGCTTTTATGCATTTGGAAAAAAATTCTAAATAATTTGTAAGAAGTATTACAGGTTTCTAGATTATAGAAACTGGTAACTGTAATATAGATTATTTTTCCTAATTTTGACTCTATGTAATTTACCTGTTTTCAGTTTTGTTGGTTTTTATTTTTCATTTTTATGTGGTACCTACTACTGTATGCCTAGTATTGTCTTTTTTGAGACTGTAGTCCGTGCATGTGAGAGATCATATATGCATATAAAATGTTACGTGTGTGTGTGGCTCCAGCCATTAAATGGTTAAAGTGCTGTGCAAAGAAATGTAACATTGACTAGAAATTCGCTCACTCAGAACACATGCTGGGGGATTAATCTTGTCTCTTAATGAAATAAAACAAAATTCTTTAAATTACCAGCAATAAGGTATAAGGTCAGTCAATAAAATACTCTTGCAGTCGCAATGACAGTGAAGGAATGCCTCTGTAATAATTGGAGTTAAATAGTGGACAGAGCATACTAGAGCTATATGGAATAGAAGGAAACTGGAAAGGTTAACTCCTGTTTAGCCTTGAACACTAAGAAAAGCATTAAAATAACGTTGACAAACTGATTTAATGGTACAACATATAATTAATTTTTAGAAGCGAATGTTGTGGAATTATCAAGGCCAAAAGCTTCAAAAAACATTCAAAGACATGGTCGGGTATAGAGAAGGTTTCCTACTTCTCTGCTGCAGGAGTCTTTTCCTCTGCTGTTGTGTATTGTGCTCAGATTTTTCTCGCTGATCTTCCCACCTTTTCTCTTTGGTCATGTGGTTCTCCTGAGAAATTAAGGAGGTTGTTTACTGCAGACTTAAGTGTGGTTTAACCCCATTTCCTATGATGTGCAATGGCAATGAATAAGATGTTAGCTGGTTATGTTCACTTAATGATCAGCTGTTAACAATTGGCATCTAATGCTTGTGGTTGAGCTTAACAGTCATCGTTCACTGAAATGAATGATGGTTTTTACAATAACTCCTTTGGTGTTATCTTAAAATCAAGGAGGTCTCTGCAAACAATTACCTTTTCTATATTTGTGTGCTGGTCTGTTCCATGGGAGAAGGGTGTTCTGGGCAGAGGTCATATAGCTATATGTGTAAGGCCACTGGAACCTCCTGGTAAATACCGACTAAACTGATAGAAATGGAATAAAACTTAGGTGCATGAAACACAAGGTGATGTAGGTAAGGGGTAATAAATATATATTATTATAAAATGGTAGTTCCGTTGAAAATGATAGCATAAAAATGCAGTTGCTAGAGAGATGATTCAGCACACTTTTAACATTTTTCCTCCAAATCTATGTGTTTCTTTAAAATACCGTTTGTTAAAAATAATTCTGCAGATTACTTGCAGAGGACTCAGAGGCAGAGGAATTTGAGGCCAAAGGAATGTTGGGGGAGAAGGGGGTGAGAAAGAGGGGAGAGAAAGGTGTGGGGGTAGTGGGGTCAAACTCCCATTGCGTTATCTACACGTTATACATGGGCAGATCTGTACCACTACTGAATAAAGGGAAGCTTTCTACTGGCAGCCTGCACAAAACGTGGTAGTTAACGTTTTTATGCGGCCATAGAGAAATGAATATAATTCCATGCTTAATTATTGGAAAGAATTCCATTAAAAAAAGAAAAATACTTTTTTTTTTACAGGCCATTGGTAAAACCTTATATTGTTTCTAGTTTGGGTTATTTTTTTCACATTAGGCACTGAATTTACTGGAGATAAGTCACTCGGAGGTGGTACTTCATTCATCCAGGCCTTTTTATTAATTGTATGTGTATTTATTGTTTGCCATAGTACCTCTTGTTCTTTCATTGCTTCTCTGTTTCCCAGTTTGGCAGAATTCCTATGTATTTGAGTGCTTGGGTCAGTACAGCCATTAATTTTGTTGCTTTGATATTAATTTTGGTATCTTAAAAGCATGACAAGATGCATTTTATTATATTTTTAATGTGGAAGTTTAAAGCATAACTAAATCATTTTTTTGCAAATAACTTTTTGACTTAATAAAAATGCAAACTTTTTACAAAGTAACAGTTCTTCCTTATGTTTGTTTAGGGGAAAATGCAGTGTTGCTCTTCTGAATGAAACAGAATCTGTGTTGTCATATCTGGAGAAAGAGGTAAGATGTGACTTCTATTTGGGTAAATATTGGGATGGGTTTAAGGGGGTTTTACGGCTGTATTTTTAATAAATGGGCAAACAATACTTTGAAAATATTTTCTTGGTAAGTTAGAAAAAATATGTTGTGGAAAACACTGATTTTAAAAATGTTATTTGATAAAAACTTAATTGACACTCTTAAATGATGGTTTTATTATAAGTATGGTTGTATTTAGAAAATAAGTAATGCAAAGTAATTCATATGGTATCTTGCAAAAGAAGAACATACAGACTTTTTCCTAGTGGATGCTCAAGGGGGAATTCACATGGCTCTTCCCTGCCGCCGCCCCCCCCTCCCCCCCCTCCCCATGTTCTAGAAAGAAGAATCTTCCATAGTCAATGGACAGAGGGAGCAAAAGAGGCTCCTATAGAGGGCAACTTAGCATAGGACTTTAATTTTAAGGGCTCTGAATTATTGTATGGAAAGTATCTCCTCACCTTTCATTTCCTGTGGAAGGAAATACCTTCAAAATAAATATTTCTTTGGAGTGTCCTAATACAACATGAGGTAGACAGTGCTTTTTAGCTGAAATTAGCATGGCTTTATTTAAATTTCTACACCAAACCCACTGATAATCAGGAAAAATGTTTCTGAACGCAAGAGTTGCCCTATACTTAGGTAGCTGTACCAGATATGCCAATACTATTTTTCTGTAAGCCCTTTTCAGACACTGACAGTGTTTTATGCTTTTTTGAGACTAATTTATAATGCAGAGTCATTGTGGTAGAGATATTTATGAGAGGAAACATACTAAATTCAGAAAGCAGCTAATATTAATTGTTTTCAAATCCATTGATTTTTTTTTTTGTGTATGAATCTCTTCATTACTGCACTGTTCTGAAATAACTGCTAGTGATGAGAGAAGCTTCAATTAGCCATTTAAAAGTACTCATGAAACACCTGCATTATTTAAAATAAGGATCAATGTACCAAACCTGTGCTTTGTAAAAGTGTGCAGGGGGGGCTACTTTAATAATTTCCAAAAGGAAGGTGATACAGGTCTACAAACTTAATTTTAAAAATCATTATGCTGTTGCAAATGTGTCTTCTTTTTCAGGATACCTTTTTTTATTCATTGGTGTATGATCCTTCACTGAAAACGCTTTTAGCAGACAAGGGAGAAATCAGAGTGGGGCCTAGATATCAAGCAGATGTGCCAGATATGCTTGCAGAAGGTAAATATATGATCTTTGATTAGTCAAAAACATAAATCCTTATCTTGCATTATTACTTATGCTGACTTTCTGAACTAAACTAATCAGCATAGAGGCAGAGAAGGTAAAATAGTAGGTCTTAGAAAACAGACAAATACCAGTGGATATTACGAAGAAAGAAAGAAAGGATACTTGAATAGCTGTTGAAAAGACATTGTCCACTTCCAGTTTGTGCATAACGCAATTTAGGCATTCAGTGTTTGTTTATTTAATTGTATGGTCCAGTTACTTCTTCAACGTTACGCCTCATAAAAAGATGATGTTGAGGACCAACCCAATTTGTAGAATAATAACATGGTAACAAAGCAAGTGAAAAACATATTCTTTTAGTCTCTTTTAAAACAGGCTCTGCTTAGAGAATGTGTGTCTTTATGTCTTCTTATTTTAAAATACTGGCTTCCATCAAAGCATCTTGTCTTTTGTAGCAGGACTGAAACAAATGTTTCAAGTCTTGGCATATCTGTAAAATCACTGGTATTTTTAAAATTTTATTTCATTTCTTTATAAACTAGCACAACTACTTGTGCCTTAGTATTTTGCTACATAGGAACTTTATTCTTTTAAAGAAAATTTCAAGTACAATATTTATTTAGTATTTGGATGTTATTTAAGAAGCATGAGCAGCTGTGTCTTATGTTTGCAGTAATATTTACTTAGTAAATTTTAAAATGAGCTCGTTTGGTCAGTGAAATGTGCACTCTACACTGAGTGCTGGCAAAAGAAAAAGTTTCCTGAGACATATCTAGACACAGATACTATTTTCAAGAATCTTGGTATTTATTCCTTAATAAGATTATGTGACAGGAATATCACTTGCAGTAAGTCAGAGGAGTTCTGAATGCCCCAATTATGTATATTTGTAACCTTAAATGGTGTGTTTTCCATTTGTCATAGGCTGCTTTTTTTTTCTGCTATACTTTTTTTTTTCCTACAAAATAAGCATTATTTCTACAAAGCTTATTTAATAAACTGTATAAAACAAAAATTATTTGATTTCTGGCAAGTAGCAGATTATTTTACAATGGATGCTGTTTAGTAGCTCACCTGCATTATTATTCTGAATTTTATTTTAATATCCAGAAATAAACTATAGGAAATCTTTTCCAGATTTGTTTATAAGGCATACAGACTTGTTTCAGAACAAGTTTATGACTAGAATATGATACGCTGCTATTCTTGCTGTAAGATATGCCTCTCATAGGGAAACAAATAGTTATGTAGACATTCACATGCTCGAGAGGAAAGCTTCCCAGAGGACTAAGAGAAAATGACTGTCTCAATGTGTGTATCAGGTAGCCAGGAAGTACTGATGTACTTCTGAAGTAGCTGGTTGAATTGCTGGGTTTTCAGGATGAGCTGGGGTTGTCTGCCAGGCAGGAAGTCTCTTCCTACTGAATACTGCTACTTAAATTATTAAAAACAGAGTCTGATTATGGAGTAGACAATACTACATATAAAATAAATGGTTTTCCCATGGAAATTTTACTCATTTTTTTTCTAAAATTAAATTCTGCATTTATTAAAAGTTAAGTTACTAAGTTCTTCTGGAGTGTAACTTTGAGTTAAATCCTTGATTCAGTTAAATGAGTAGAAGATCTTTTTCTTACATCACGAAGACAGGATTTCACTGTGTGTTACTGTCTTGTTTTTCTCACACCCCGTTAATTCCCAAAGTGCAATAAGTGATGCAGTCTTCTTGCAGTCTTTAGTAGGCAAGAATAGCCCATCAGTTATTAAGGTTCAGAAAAACCAAGTTGCCCGCAAACCAAAGATCTGGTGGTATACAGAGCACTTCTTTGGCAGTTTCTCTGAATTAATCTGCACTTATTTCCAGTGGGTGGTGGAAAAAAGAGTTTGGTTTTAGGAGGATAAAAATATCTGAATTCTTGTAGTTTTGACTGATTGTTATCTAAATGTTTCTGTAGCCTTCTAACCTCCAAGGAAGAGAAAAAGATGATTTAGCTGTTACTGTGTCTTTATGCAAGCTGACAGCCTGAAAGTTAATCCATTCACTGTCAAGCCTTTTCATTCATGAAAACAAATCTAAACAATGTTTAAAATTAACAGAACGAAATGCGTGTGTTTGGATTCTGTGAATATTTCTGAATCTTGAAATAAATTTTTCAGCCTGTATTTTTGAGAGTGGCTAATGATCTGTATGTCCAAATTATTTATGCCATAATGTATGACTCTTTAAAACTAAAAGCCTAGAGCAATCACCTTAGTTAGGGATCACTTGAGAAAAATTAAGTTTTTATGTCATCTAATAATAGTATTATATAATAAAATAGAAAGTATTGCTAACTTTATTCACACGTAAAATTTGTCCTTTAATGTATAGGAAGTACACCTTTTTGAATGTTGTTTGTAGACATATTTTATGTTTACAGAAAATCCCCAAAGCCATTTTTAAAAAAAAAGATTTAGAAAAATTGAAGAGTCACACACCATCAGTTATGTTATTTTAAAACTTACTGGCATATAAATCCAATTCAAATGACTGAAGACATGCCAGTTCAGATTAGCTTTCAGAAGACCATTCACAAAGTGGCTGAAAAATGAAAAAAGTTCTTTGAACTGTGGAAGCCCTTCCACATCTATTATAAACATTAAATTATTTTGATATAAACACACTGATGTATTCTAGTAGATGAAAAATTAAAATTGCTTGCATTTTCTCTATACTATGATAATTTGTTTTCTGAGTGGACTATTTTTTTAAATGTTTATTGGAGAACTATATGCATTTTTTTTGTGGGAGTAGATTTTTTTTTTTTCCCCTTCCATTGATGTTACCATTTTCCATCCGTAAAAAAACATAGTCCAAAAGCTGGTGTTTAGGCCAAACTTTGGATAATGCAGCATACCATCTTCCCCCCACCCCATGGGTGAATTGGATAACTTTATATTTCTCTTTAATTTTTGAAATGAAAAGAATGTTTACTTTTTAAAAGACTAAAAGGTTTATTAAAATCAAGTTACATAATAAAGTATTAGATCCAACTGTTTTCCCACTTTGAGATACATTGAATCATAAATCCTTTACACAATTACAGTAAACAAATACAAACATAGTTTAAATCTGGTTGAAAATACCTAAGCTTTGTTTATCTACACTGCTTTTGTTTGCAGTGATTTGGCTAAATCACTTAGATTACACATTTACTGAAGACTATATCTTTGGAGAAAGACCAGGCCAGATTTCTTTCAGCAGTCTCTTATGACTTTTGTTATGAACATCTTTGGGAGTAAAACTATGATCAAAGTTGTCAGATTCAAATGATATCATGGTTCTGTGAAGCCCTTCCTTCTACCTCAGTGCTCCAGCCTTTCTAGACTCTAGTTTGAAGATTTTGAGAGTCTTTTTAGTTGCTTTTATTACACCGGAGAACAGGAGACTGTATTTTACAGCATTGACTCAAATTCTGGCTAGTACAATACTAAAGGTCCTTTCTTTACGTTTAACAACACATTCTCCAGTGGCTTATTCTGTGAATATAGCAGTTGTTTATTTTCAAATCTGTTTCCAGTGTGGAGTAACATTCTGCTCCTCTGTACAAAGCAGGAATAAAAAGGTTTATCTTGGAGGATGAAAGCACACATTTGGAGAAAGAGTATCTTGTTTCAAGCATCCCTACTCTACAGTCCAGGAGCAAGGTACCTGGTTCTCTGCATGTGATGGCCAGAAGCTGCTGTCTGGTGCATCCACCTACTGTATTTGATTAACAACTTATAAAATATGTGACTAGTAAGTTCAAAAAACAAAACAAAAAACTCAAACAACAAAACCCCCCTGTACAGTTTTGCTTTGGGCAATTCATTATTATCATTGTTATTTGGTTAAAAGGTGTACTTTTATAAATTGTTCTGAATATGATCAAACTGTTATCACCTTTAACTAACAGATTTTATTTAGTTCTGGTTTGTGTATGGGGAAATATGAGAAAGCTCAGGGAAATTGCTCCAAAGCAAATCAGTTCAGATACTTGGTAGACTTATGGAACATTGATCCTTCCCTATCTCACAACTTTAAAAACCAAATGTTTTTAAATTCTGGCATTTCAACCAGGATATGTCAGCAGTGGAACAACTGATGCAGTGACAAGTTGTGTTATATGGTTGGCTAAAAAGCAGAGAATGAGAGAGAGAAAAGTACCAGCATAGCATTAGGGATATAGTTCATGGAGTAGGATAATGCTTAAGAATGGGAATAACTGGGAAATTTATTTTTTTTGCTTGCTCTGCAGGATTGCTTTTAAAGCATTAAATAAAATTGTTTCTCTCATATGCCTGCACTGATCTTTCTGCCTCATGCATACTGTTGTAGGTCTAATTGTAGTTGTCACACAGTAAAATGCATGACAGCTCAGCTAAACAAATACAGTCAAAGTGTTATTATAGGTAGGGAAGCCAAGTATTTAAAATAACCTCATTGGCCAAATCAGTAATTTCTTAAGTAATGCTTACTTCTATTTATTTGTAGGGTTGTGAATCAGGTGGAAACACTGGGACAGAGTCAACAAAGGTCAATAATTGTTCCCCTGTCTGTCAAAGCTCGATTAAAATTTCTGAAGCAAAGGACATCTTCTAAATAAACCTAACAAAGAACTTTATCATGACTGTTCTTGTCATGATATGCAAATCTAATGAAACTATTTGGAGTAATTATCTGACAAAAAAAACCCCTAACAAAACAAAAAAATACTAAATTGTATTTTCAAGAAAACTAATAAAATTTGGAATAAGTATCTCCTATGATTTTAAAGAAAATTAGAGAATAAGTGTAATTTGTTAAAATAAATTTTCTGATGTTACATTTACTTTGTCAGCAATAATGAATGAACCTTTCGTGTACCAGGATTTGGTAGAACAGTGCTTTGTTAGGCAATGTAAAATGTTTAAATGTTGAAATTGGCATTTTCAAGAAAATTTAGCCCACTAGCATGTGAACAACCATGCTG